AGACTTCTTATCCTGAGACCTTCATGATATCAGGCCTGATTAAGATATCGGGGCCTTCAATCTCTTGCTGAAGATTTGGCTCCAGGAGGCATTTGAGCATAACAAAGTCTCAGCATCATAAAACAAGCCTGCCTGTGTCAAACTGGTGACTGAGCCTGTAGATAACCCAGAGGCCACATAATACACTTGTATTTTCCAGGCTATGTGGGGTGATGGGAGGGAAAAGGGTCCCCATCAACACTCCAGGCAAGTGACCTGGTCATTGCCAGCAAGAAGTAATTGCTCCTGCTGCTATCTCTGCCTTGCAAAAGCCCAAAGCTGTTGTTTTTTTTTCACTCAGGAGGAAGGAAGCTCTGCAGCTGCCACAAGAGAGTCAGGAGTGGTGCATGGACCATCTTAAGTTGAATCTGTCCTGATTGCAGAAGAAGAATGAGCATAGCTAAGTACTTTCTGTGGACAAGGAAGGATGTCCTTTCACTCTACAGAGTTTGACTTTGGATCTAGGCTTTGATGCAAAATCCTGATGTAGGGGCCAAACCCGCCTCACAGTCATGGATACTCTGTTAAGTGAGACACTGCACATGGAAGACTGCGTGCCATGCACATGGCACTGCACAGGATGAGTAGGTACCTTTCTAGGTAACAGCTACATTATGCAAAGTTGGAAACAGTTGAGTGCTTTAGATCTTACAAATTGCCTTTCACCCTCTGAGTCCCCAGGTGAAATGCCAATAAGCAAACCTAATGCTTAAGACAAGAGTCTTACTGGATACCAGATGGTTCATATGTAGATGAATGTTCACATGTGGATGCATGTGGGGTTTCAGGCTGTTGTGGAAATTTCCATGCTGAACAGGTTTTGTTCTTCTTGGATATGTGGTGGGGAAGGAAAGCTACAGTGAATTTGTAAGACCCTTTGGGAAGAGACTCCAAAATGCACAGCCAGGCACAGAAGCAGCACAGGTTCTGGGGGGTACCTGCTGGAAATAAAGATGAAGAGCTTTTCTTGCATTCTTGTTCAAAGACGACAAAGCCTTCCAGTGCTTACACACATGTGCAGTGTGGTACTGTGCTGCCAAGAAGTACTCTTGGGAAGCAAGCCAGAGTCACTGAGAGGCCTGGTCAGTGTTTTCTTTGGAAGGCTGCTGCTGGAAAATGCTGTTGAAACAATTTCAATGAGGTTCTTTCTTTCAATTAGACATATTTCTTCCAGAAACTTTCCAAGGAAAAATATTTTTTATCCAAAATACTGGCTAGCCAGAAACAAAGTTCTTCAGCCAAACCACAAACTATTCAATTAGTAAATTCTGCACTGCTGCCTCCATGAAGCTTTAGTTCATTTACTTTCTATCCCTGTTTCCCTCTCTGGGCCAAGTTCTTTGCTTATGTCACCATGCACTCTGAAATGTCAATTCTCACTCAGAAACAATGAGACCTCTTGACATGGATGAGACCTCGGGGGATTTGAGGTGAGCTCCTGGACCTAGATTAGATGGAAATATAAGACTCCTGGACTTGAGCAATGCTTAATACTAAAGTTTCATCACAATGTAACTGAAGCTTTTTGGTAACTGGATGTCTACTGAATCAGTGACCTGTGGGCCAGGGAGAGATGGGTCTGGGAATTCAGTCAGCAAAGTATCCCCTACACTATCAGACAATAATGTGAAGATGATTACCGACTGTCCTTAAAATAATAAAACTCTGCCCTGTAGTAGACTTTTACACCACAATAACCCAAACCAGCAGCTTCCAGAAACTCTCAGGCTGGGTATGTGTAAAAACTCTCCCAAGTTGCAGAGATGCAAAAAGAAGGAGTCAAAGGTACATTATTGAAAAGAGTGTCCTGTCAGTCAGCACACAGGAAGATATATTCCTGTATGAAGACATGATTCCTGAGATGATGAATTTTCAGTGGCAGTTGTAGAACCAGAGATGAGGGATAGCCTGTCTTTCTTCTTTCTCCTCACTTTGTTGTGTACACAGCATGGTTTTACCACCATCTTTCTTGAAAGTCTTCTGCACCCATCGGACAACACTAGTTGGGAGAATCTCACCTTCCTGTCTCATCAGGAAAATATTTTTCATTCCTGTACACAAACTATCAAACTACATAAGATAATTTAAAAATGCAATCGTATTCTTAGTTGGCAGAAGGAAAAGGTGATGTTCTCATATCTTATTAAGTTATTGTATATTAATTGCCTTCTACTCAAGTGCAAACATGAAGTTCCTGTTGCTAATGGAATAATATCTTAGTTTTAAAAATATACTTTGGAAACTATTTGTATTAACTACAAGCCAAAAATAAGAGTCCTGGCCTTTTCCTTGCCAAAGCATATTTACCATTCAGTACCTGTAATGAGACTTTTATTCAACTATTTATGCTGCACTTACTGACTATAAGGTATCCATGGTATATATGTTATTTAGTTGACTATTTCTTATAGGTACATGATGAAAATTGCTCACATAAAAAAAGCATGATGGTAATTTGGCTCCTGTTGGCATTCAGCTGAAAGCAGGCCTGTGTGTGGCTACCTGGGTAGGCATGCCTTCAGATCTTTGTATAAGACATTTCCCTTCAAAAGTCAGTCTTGAAAACATACTTTTCCCATATCAGTGTTTATGAATACCAAATAAAAGGTAAAGAAATTTTCCTCGAAGAGAACTCTTCATTTTTATTTAAATGAATACTTAATCTACTTAAGAAGTACTTGTCCCAGGACATTTCTAGGTCCATCTGTGAACAGAAACATGTAAAATTAAAATATTAATTATTAAAACTTTTTATGGAACAGGATGAACCTTTTCTCCTTTTTCAGGGTGTAATAAAAGCCCTGTGGCAAAGCACAGAGCACACAGCTGCTTCTGGCACAGAGCCGTAGGCATGGGGACACACTGCTTATGCTAAGACTAACAGGCAAAGTACAGAACACTTGTAGCTGGAAACTCTTCCCCTAATTGGTCTTCTGTTGGGAAAGACACAGTAAAAACAAAGTCTTAGGCTTTTTGATCCATCAGTTCAGCTTAAGCACATTTGGGCTATCTGCTGGGCCTGTCTTGGTGAAGATGCTGGTTCATGTCTGAAGAAGTACAACTGTGATGAACAGCAAAAGTTGCTACTTTAAGGGTAAGGAGTGTAATATGTTGTTTTACAATGCAGAGTTATAATTTTTAATATTAAGAGAAATACTTAATGAAATTTTATTCCTTAAGCATCTTCATGCCCACAAGAAGATGACAGGTATTATTTCATGCAGAGAGAGAAAGAAATATCAGGCATCAGGCATCTCTTGACTCAGACACTGCTCTTTCCCAGGCTTTACCTCTAGAAGATGGGTATGAGCCTCAGGCTGATTGCTTCTGTGTTTGCTGGAGAAGGAGAGGTTCAAGAGAAACATCTGCAGGGAAGATCCTGCCAGCATGAGAGGCAGGCTGGAGTTAGCTGCCTGGAGTATGTGCAGGTGTGCTCTGGGACAAGACCACCAGTGCCATTGCAATGGTCTGCAATCAGCAGTAGTATAACCAGAAGATAAAACATGGAGGTAAATATATTTTAGGTTTTGTTTTTGTTTGGTTTTTGCTGTTTTTTTTTTTTTTTATTCAGTATGACCAAAAGCAGACTTTGCTAATTCCTTAGAATTACCAATAAATAACTATAAATTAAAAACCAAGATCAGCCTCACTCAGCTCCACAGAACTGTGCCACTAGTGTCCTCATCCTCTCCAAGACCTACCTCTCTACCAGCACTGTCCAAACTCAAATGTTTCCTCAACCACATTGGCATGATTGGCACTCTCTTGCTTGTTTAAATCTCTGCTCATTTTCTCATCTCTCTCACCCCTGTTTTCATTAACATGAGATTATTTTTGCTCTTTTTTTCCTATGGTCTTCATATCTGATTTAATTTCATTTTATTTACAGACCTTTTCCCTTCTTCAAATTAGTTTTGTGTCCTGGTTTCGGCAATATTATTGAATGTGCAATATCACAAGAGGCTAAACACCTCTGTTTATGAGAGGTGCCCCTCAGGGTTTTCCAGGCTTGCTTTTATATCCTGCAATGAAATTCTGTGCTTTTGAGAGCAGTCCTAGTCCCTGGAACTCACAAAAAATCTCCTTATTGATTCCAGAAGGAGAAGACTAATCACTAAAATCAATTACACTCTTGTATCAAACTTTTTACAGCTCCTGCTGACTTCAATAGCAATTCCCCTTGTACATCTAAGGATGCAATCCAAACCAGAAGTCAGTAAACAATTAACTGACCTATTTTTTAAGATGATATGTCAGTTAGTGGGCAATGTACTTAGGCAGCTTGAGGCACAATCGAGGTCTCATATTTTTAATGCTTCATATATTTATAGGTACTGAATTCTGAAGAAAAATGGTGATCATCATCATTATACAATCCTGTAAAAAACACAAGTCAGAAAATTTCATTATACTGACCTCAAATAAAGCACGTCAGAGAAGCGTAAAAGATCTTCACATTTAAAATATACTCTTCATTTACAGTCTGGATTTCACTTAACCCCTTCACTACAGGCTCTCTAAATTTCTCTTTTCAACTGCATAAACCTCTTCTTCACTTCTCTCAATATATGCACTTAGTGTGACCAGATTTTGGAAGCCAGGAATTCTGTGAATTCTGTAGTGGGTTTTTTGTTGGGTTTGTTTGTTGGTTTGTTTTTTTTTTTTTTTGAGATGCTTCAATATTAATTTTTTTTTTACTATAAATAAAGCCTTTTTTTCCGGCAACCAGTCTCCAAAGGTCACCTTACAATGTTTTGCTATTTCCCGTATTAAGCAGCAATGCTTTCAGCTGACATTCCAACTTCAAGTCATGCGTATGAGCATGATGCAAGCCTGCTTCAAACCACTGAGAGAGGGCTGCAGACAAGACTGCTGTATAGTTGCTGAGAAAAATAACATCCATTGTCAAAAAGGGCACTTCAAACAAAATTTAGCTTCATGAATACAAGTGTCTCCAAATATTTGGTTCATGCTAAAAATATAGCACATTTATTAAAAATAGATATTTATAAACATTGATATGAACAGACACAGATGCTAGGCAAATGAGAAAGGAAAAGCAATCATATAATATATTTCTCCCAACATTTTATCATGTTTAGGCAGACCTTGTTCAATTGAATTGTTTTTTTCATGATTGCACCATATGTTCATTCTAAATAAAAAGCTTGTCAGATTCAATGAAAGTAAAAGCAAAAACCAAGAGAAAAAAGGCATTTGACATAACAGACACGTGATCTGTGCTATGGAGCTATCTTGAAGTTCAATCTTTGTGGGTATACAGTATACATTTCTAATTGTATATAGTGTACAGTTCCTCTCTTTCTTTCTTTTTTTAATGAATTGTATTAAAACAACATATCCCTCATGGAGTTCTTCAGAACTACACCTTGCATAATTGCAGTCATTTTCTCCCAAAACGAAAACCAAACCGAAAGGAAGAGAGCAAGACAGAAGAGTTAAGCCTGTTACTGTGTGAAAAAGTCTTGTTAAATTAATTGTGCTTCAGCCTTTGCTGCCTGCAGGCAGTGCTTATATGATGTGTTAATATAATACAGAATCAATTCTGGTTAAACAACTTGTCAATAGTCAGCAATGTTTGTTGTCACTCAATGGCTGTTTTATCTGGTCTATTTGCAGGCCTTCTAGTTTACAGGGTTGTGTAAATATACACAAAAATGATAACAATGAGGTTCAGAATTGTCCCAATAATTCCAAGCATTGCCAAGATGGTTTCTTCTTTGCTTTCCTTTTCTTGATTGCCTTTATCTTCTTCATTTCCACTAGTGATTACCATCTTGGTGGCCAGTTTCTTTATCCTCCCCTTCAGGATAACCTAGATTTCAGAATAAAAACATCAAAATGTATTGTTAGTTTCCAAACTCATACTATTAGTGGAGCCAATTGCAGAATTTTTGCCCCATAATGCATTATATTAAGAATTAATTTTAAAAGGATTAATAATTTACTAACTATTTAGTAAATGCTTAATTAAAATGATAGTTAAGCTAGCTTGTAGATTACTTATAACCTTCTATAACACTCTGTTTATGTGCCAGCTATTGTTTGTTACACATATAACTCATCTGCAATGTTGTTATAAAGCTGGTTAGAAATGTATCAATGAGGCGTGACGCCATCAGTGTCAGTGGGGACTTTGCCTGCACTTGAATTGCAGTAGACCTTCTTGTCAAATTGTGGAAACCCTAGATTTACACTTCAGTACCAAGAAGCAACTAGGTGAGGGAAATAAAACTGGGAAGAGCTCATTTCTTTTTAATAGGAAAAATCACCAAAGACAACAGCATTTTTTTCTCCTGATGAGAAAGAAGACAGCAGTAACTTCCTAATAAATAATTCAAAATAAAAGCAAAACGAAAATAACATCCATCTTGGCTTTTATTTTCCTTATTCTTAATGTACAATGAAAAGTTACTTGCAGTGCAGTGAGCTGAAATGTATCGATCTGCCTGCAGGGAGAATACAGTCATTTCCCAAGCAACAGCCCCAGCCTCTGAACTGCTTAAAAAAAGAAAGAAGATTCTTCAAATGTGGGACCAGCCCTGACTCCTGGTACTGCTGGATCCACAGATAAAGAAACTCCTTTGGTCTTCCAGCCAGGCATTAAGACCTGGATAAACATTTGATTGTTCAAACTGGAAACGGATACATTCTATTTATCTGTGTTTATCTAATGCTGCAGATTCTAACCTCATGGGCAAACCAGAGCGTCCTAGAAAACTGAAGAAGTTTGGCTGGTTTCCCAAAGCCAACTGATCTGCCAACAGCTGGGTTCAGGCAATGCCCTGCTGTTGTCTCCCAAGCTCAAGCATACTCCCTGATTTTTCTGCTGCAGGAAGCAATGGTAGGATGTAGCAAAAAATGCTCTGCAACATCTTGTGCCTGTGGGAGGCATCTGGTTGGAAGAGAAAGGGGGCACAGTCACTTTCCTCATTCCTCCCTCTGCTAACCCATGGAGCAAAACCATTAGATCCCATGTGGCATGGATGTTCTGGGTGATGAGGGCTCCCCAAGGACAGGCCCGCGCCTCTATGGGCATGTCCCCATCAGCAGTTACCACCAGGGGGCAGCCCTGACCTGCAGCTCCATTGAGCTGAAAAGACGGAAGGACTGGGAAAGGTGAGAAAATCCTGTGATAGAGGCACTGGGAGGAAAAAAAAAAACACGTCCCAAGCTACGACTCGCAGCAATTACTTCACCCATAAAGCCATGAGTCATTTGGATATCATGTTCTTTTCCCCTCCAGTAACTGGGAGGTTTTCCCTCTGTCCAAATGTTTGCATTTCACTGTTTATTTGGAAAAAAACCCAAATAAACCAGTCCCTGGGCTGCATGATCTCTGATCTGAGGTTGCACTAGCACTTTTCTCCTCTTTTAATATTAGCAAGGAGATGCTGAGCAGTTTGAAAGCAAAACACAACCAGCATGACTTGGACTGCCAGATATTTTCTATCCCACTAAGGGGCCTTAAATGAGGAAAAAAGTCCTCAGTGGGATTCAGTGAAATACGCATGGAGAAGCTGGTGACTGGGACGTGATGAACACGAAGGAACAACAAGAAGGCCACAGCAGTTGAGAGTTTATACATGGGTTGATGCACAGTGTGATCTGTTGGAGGTCATCTCTCTTGCTCCAGTCATGCCTGTGTGCTGTACTTAGCTCATGCTATGATACAGCCTGCAACTACATGAACTGATGAAACTACGCAAAAGGTGTGTCCCAGGAGTGCTTCATGTGCTACAAAAACAATAAAAGAAATTGCAGTCCACGGCAGCAGGGGTCCAGATAGAAACTGGCCTAAAGTAAACCCCCCAAAACATGTGTGGTGTGGACACTGGCACCATTTGTTTCCCTAAAGGGATTTCTCCAGTGGGTCCACACTGCTTGCTATTTCATACATCATCTAAACTCTGCTAGAGAGCTAGCGCAATGAGCTTGGTATTAAGAGGCATTTAACATTCAAACAGGACAAGACTGGGACCAAATACAATTATATTAGTACTTTGCCAAATATAGCACTGTTGAAATCAAGGTAAGCGTTGGCTTTGAACTGTGAAGAGACCAGAATCAAAATTACTTCCCCACATTTAAGGACTGACCTTGGGAGAAGAGGAGGAGTCTCCTAATGGTAGACTCAAGTCTTTAACCTTCACAGATCTCAGGCTCACAGCAGTATTTTGGCTGGCTGAGGTCTGTGGGTGTTTTTTTGTTACTGGGAAAGTATTTGCTGTCAGTTTTAATATAATTGCTCCAATTAAGAAAATAGAAAAGTTTTCTGGCTTGCTGGATACCTTTTATCAACCTTTATTATTCTCTTCTGGAAATTGATTTCATTTATTTGACATTGTTTCATGTATTTAAGATTCTTAAGACACATTGCTCCTTTCATATATTTCTGATCAAACTTCATGCTTGTCAGAAGCACACCTTTTCCTTATACAGAACTGCTGCTAGAACTGCTGATACAGAAGCCATAGAGAGCACTAGATTTACCAATTCTTTAATAACTATACTTCTTACTTAATTACTACTTCATTGGGAAAGCACTTTCCTGCCACATCAAAATTAATGTTTCCTACTTCATTTTGCAAGATTCATCATCAACCTAACATCAACCTAAGAACCTGTCCTGGTTTCAGCTGTAACAGGATTTTTTTTTCTCCTTCCCAGTAGCTGGTGCAGTGCTGTGTTTTGGCTCTAACCTGAGAACAATGCTGATAACACACCAAAATTTTTAGATGTTGCTCAGTAGTACTTACCCTGATCAAGGATTTTTCAGTCTTTCATGCTCTGCAAGTGAGTGAGAAGGTGTACAAGAAGCCAGGAGGGAGCAGAGACAGGACACCTGACCCGGACTGGCCAAAGGGATATTCCATACCACAGCACATCATGCCCAGTATATAAACTGAGGGAAGTCACCCAGAAGGCCCAGATCACTGCTTGGGTCAGGCTGGGTATTGGTCGGTGGGTGGTGAGTGGTTGTATTGTGCATCACTTGTGTTTATCGTTTTTTCCCCATTCTCCAGCCAGTTTTATATTCTCTCCCCTTGCTATTTCCCTTATCATCATTAGTAGTAGTAGTACTAGTAGCTGTATATTATACTTCAGTTATTTGACTCAATACTTCTTAACCCATAGGGTTTGCATTAATTCTCCTCCCATCCCACCAGAGCAGGGGGAGGGAATGGGGAGATGAGGAAGCAGTTGTGAGGTTCTGAGTTACCAGCTGGGCTTAAACCATGACACAGCCTTTTGAAAAGATGTGTATTCCAGAAGCTATCCATGAAAAGATACGTATTTCATATATTCTGCTTTGCACAAAGGAGGAAAGGACATTTCAGTGCTTAGGACACTCCCTGCACTATTCACCTCATTGCACTTCTGCTGATTTTTTATATATGTATGAAAAACCCACATAGTCTCCCTGCCTCAGTTTCTTATCTATCTGTGGAATTCTTTGAAGAACTGCCCAGCCTATGTCCATGACAGGAAATGATCCATAACAAAAGTGAGGCCCCACAAATAATTCCAAAAGAGAGAGATGTAAACATGAAAAATTTCAAATCCAACAGTGCTATAAAATACACCCACTACCATGTCCCCAGATCTGTGGGACCTTCTGCACCCAACTGTCATTGCAAACAGCCCAGTGAACTAGACTAAACATTTCTAGCAAAAGGAGATAATCCCATTCATCTCTCTGCTCTAGCATGAGCAGTGACTGATCTAAAGGTGATGGTTTAGTGGCAGAGCTTTGGAAAAGGCAGCAGCAAAAGTGCACGTTTGCGAATTTACTGCAGTACGTTTATCACATTGAGGATACAAAGCACATCCCTCATGAAGTGCCTGCCCTGATATATCTGTCAGCTTTTGAATATGCTAGCACCTTGACTTGCTCTTGGAAAAGTTTTGTAATCTTAAATCACTTCTCTTCCAAGTCATTATTCATTATTTATGAGCTCCCCAAAGATGCCGCAAGTGGAGGGTGCTCACAGCAGAAAGAGGCCGCTGGGGAAATAAGAGGAGGGGAGCACGGTCTGGGCTCTGCCAGGTACCCTCCACACTCGTCCTTCTCTCCCCATTCTGGCATTTTGAAAAACAAGAACAAAAACTTCGGAAAGGCTCCCAGGGTCCGATGCTGAGCTGGTACAAAACAGCCTCCCTTCCCCAAATTCAGCTGAGCCACCTCTGTTTACACCAGCTGAGGGTCTGGCTCCTTGTATTAAATCTAGTTTGAATATCAATAAGCACAAATTTTGTATTCTTAATCCATAATCACAGACAATCACCAGCCAAATTGTTTTGATATTCAAACTTGTTTGCAGTCCCTAGGCTATTAGTTGTGATGAGACATTAAGAGATAAGAGAGCTTTAATTTTCTGAGGATAGTTCCACCGTCTGGGGATAAGAAACACACAGCAGAAACTTGTTTTGATTATCAAACTGAAGAGGGCACAGAAATCTTAAAAAGTGGAGTGTGAGTTCAGATGCTGGAGCTGACACCTTTTATCTCACAAAAGTGCTCCTATTACCAAGCAGGGAAGAAAGGGTCCTTGAGGATTTAACCCCCCTTGCACATCACAGCCAAGTGGAATTTTGCTCCTTTACTCCTAACAAGTTATTTTAACCTTGTTTTCCTGCAAGGACAGACCTGGCAAAGTTGGGTGCCCAGCTCAAGTCCTGGCCAGCCCCCAAAACAAGATGCTGAGCACGGCAGTTAGGTGGATACTGCACTGCTGCTAATGTTCTGTGGGGCAAAGACAGACTAAGCTCACACATTTGTGCTCATTAGCAGTCCTATTTCTAATGAATACA